CAAAAAAAAAAAAAAAAAAAAAAAAAAGGTCGGGGAGCTGAGCTTGGAGCTCAGGGCGAAGGCCCTGGGTTCAGTCTCCAGTGTGGCCACTGCACCTGCCTGTGTGTCCACGGCAGGCGTGGGACGGGGCCTGGTGGCCGCGGCGGGGCTCTCACCGGGCTAGTGTCGCCCCCAGCCCTCCTCTCCACGCAGGGCGTCCAGGTGGAGCACAACGCAGAACTCCTCGGGATCCGCTTCTCCCGCGCGCTGCAGCGCCACACCTCAGGTTACCACCGCGCTCTCACCGCAGCTCTGGAGACTCTGGTGCGTCCCGCCTCGGGGTGGGGGCAGCCCAGCGCCAGGGGCGTGGCCAGGTCCTGGGGGCGTGGTCTAGCTCGGGGCGTGGCCCGGCCGGGGCCACGCCTTGGGGCTCAGCACGGACTGGTGTTGTCTCTGTTGTAGTTTCTAAGTAGTTTCCAGAAGACGGAGTTAGAAACAAGCTGCGTGGGCTGCACCGTTCTCAGTTACAGGTGAGCTGGGGCTCTGTGCAGGTGAAGGAAACTTGATTGACATCAGAGAGATGTCAGAAGATGGCCAAAAATTCTGAACGATTCCAGAGGCTTCTGGAAGATTCTAGAAGATTCCAGCAGAGTGAAGCTCCTCCATCTCCAAGGCCCTCTCCTCCTATCTGTAGGGAAGGGAATTCCAGCGTCCTGGTGCATTTCCGGCTGCACTTTTTGCTCCGAGCCCTGCAGTCACTGAGTCTGGACCTGGAGGAGGAATTACTGCAGCGGGGCATCCGAGAGAAGCTGCGAGAAAGCAGCATCTCGCTGGCTGCCTATGGCACCATTGTGTCAGCCGAGCTCACAGGTGAGTGGGTGGAAGAGACTGAGAGCCTGTGCGGGGTGTGGGGGGGTGGCAGTGGGCTCAAATTAAACTTTAAGTTTTGTCGGATACTATGGCTGTGCCTGCAATTCCAGCTACTTAGAAGGCCGGGGCAGGAGGACTGAAAGTTACAGCCCAGCCCAGCCCAGATGGCTTAGCAACTTAGCGATACCCTGTCTCAGAATAAATAAAAAGGGCCGGGGATGG